AAACTTCTAATAAATTTATCCAATTTTAAGTAATTAGTAAGTTAATTAGTATAAATTTTGAAAATGATATTGATGGAATGCTTAATTTTCTATAATAAATTCTACTTTGTTAAAAAGCTAAAGTAACGTATCATTCCCCCTGTAAATTTTACATGCAATTTACGTACATAGTATTTTCGTAAGTGTATAAAAGCAAATTTTTTTAGACATTGGAAATAATAAATAGAATCATTTTATAAATGATGTATTTTATTTATATTTCATATAAATATAATTAATCTTAAAATAATTTCAGTTTTTTAGATAGGCGATAGTAAATAGTACATGTGTTTATTGTTTGTTTGATATTCAAGATATTTTTCCATATTAACATTATTTTAATACTCCATTTAATGAAAATAATTTTGTTTTATTTATATATAATCAAAGTGAAGAGATAATACTAATGTTGGATGTTTCAAATCATTTATGATTATTTAAACAACATGATAGTATTACATATTTCTTCAGTTAAAAACTCATAAGTGATTTTCGGGCTACTGTTAATAATGTAAATAAAACTATCTTATACTTAAATCCAGGAACTTTTAATACAAATGCTGATGAAGATGTACTGATTTTATAGGGAGACTCTGTTGAAATTCCTGCGGCCTTGGCCATGGCCAATGGAATTATGTTTTGTTCATAGTTTCCAGTAAACAGATGTGCCCACGGTCCTTTTGCAAATACCATAACGTCATCTCCACCATGTGTTTCTAAATCCAAAGGTATAAAACTTGGGTAGTGTACTTCGTTAACTGCATAAAAAAAATATTTTTTTTATTAGTATATTAAATTTACTAGTCCTCCTCTACTTGAATTTCTAATAAATTTATTTATGGTATGAAAAGAATAAAATTTGGCGTTTAAAATATTAATTAATAGAAATGAGTTTAAAAAATAATGTAACAAATTACCCATTTGCGAAATGTTAAATTTTTGAAAGAAGTTTCTGCTTGGGCTATTACTTGGACCATTAGCGTAGCTTAAAGTTGTGTATGGTAAATCGTCTTGTGCCAGCCAACTAGTCGCTCCTAAAATGTTTGTACCACGTGCAGGATAACCAGCCATAGTTAATGTATGGGCATGATCTGCAGTCACGACGATTAAAGTTTCAGTTTCGTTGGTCAACGCAACGGCTTCAGAGACAGCTTTTGACAATTCAACAGTTTCATCCAACGCAAATTTCGCATACGTATTGTGATGAGCAATATCAATAAGACCACTTTCAACGAACAACACAAATCCATTTTTCTCTTTTTGCAACAACTTTATGGCTTTAATAGTCATTTCAGTAAGCGTTGGTTGCATTTCAATATTTGATTTCAACCTGTAGTCCAAATGAGTAT